GCATTTTTATACCACCCAGCCATTAAAGTTATCTGAGAAGTTTATTATTATTTTAACCCCAATATGGACAGTGTCAGAATGAAAACAGCAAAGTGCCAAAGAACTGAAGCATGCTCTTTAAGCTAGAAAACCTGGAAAAATAAAAACCACTGCATATAGGTTTCAAATGAGTTTCTCTGGAAGAGTATTTCACAACCAGGGTACCATCACAGAAAAGTCCCCCAAAAAGTATTAGAGTCAAACGAATACAATAAGTCGAGGTACTATAGAAACGTCATGTATTTCTGTGATATAGTATGACAAGATTTGAAAATTTTGTAAAGTAAAGAATTCATTGATGTGATATTATAGACTGTCTGCATTTCAGTGTTGTGAAACCAGCTTAGGCCGTTTGGTTATCATTGTATACTCTGTGAGCCAAAAGCCATAGACTGAATGTCTGTAAAGTTTTAAAACCTTTTCATATCTGTTTCTTTAGTACGCTGACTTTATTTATGATTTGATGTGTTGAGAGAGTACAAGATGGCAGGTTTATAGTAAACTGTGCCTTTTAGAGCAAACCAGATCAAGAGAGGCATTGAAATCCTAGCCAATCCGAATAATGGCAATGTAACAATGATACCATGTTTTCCAAGTGGGCTATCCAGTAGCTGTGCTGACTTTGATTTGTAGCTTAAAAGACAGTGTATGGGTCATTCGGTATTCTTTGCAGTCTGTACTGATTTCTCTGTTTGCCTGACGACAGTGTGGGTTAGTGGTAACATGGCAAAATGTTTGAGATGTCTGGAATTTCTGGAATTCTGTTAACTGGGTTTCACACTTAAATGGCAGATTGTGCGTTCCTCTTTTTCATTGAGAAGGGTATCCATGTTAGTAACATAAGTAGAGTTTTGTGACTGCAAAAAAAAAAAGAGAGAGAAACAAAAATTAAGAGCCTCTGAAAGCTCACGCCACAATAAATTTCTTGTTTGAGGATGGCTTGCTTATTGTGGCAGAAGCATCCATAGATGTCTCAAGACTCCTCTGGGTTTTTTGTTTTTGTTTTTAATCTCCTGTTTATTTTGCATAGAGAGGCTTCATCTGCAATTTAGGCAGATGGTATCATTATAATAATGCACTTTTTAAAGAAAAGGACATAAAGAACCAACCAAGCTCTTCTTAGCTGGGACTGTAACCCTGCTCTGTGTGTGCAGAGAGCTGTGAGGAGAGTTGTTTGTCCGTGTTTTGCGGTTCCTTGTCTCGCCAGGACCTGCCAGCTGCCAATGCCTGGCTCCCTTTTAGTGTATTATGGGCTAAGCCTGGGGCGAGCGGAGCTGATAAAAACCAGACACTCATTATTAATGAAAGAAGTTGATCATGGTGATGGCTGGAGGGAGAAGGAGAGGGAGCCTAAGCACTGCAGGCTGGGCTCGGTATGTGGGGACTTGGGACCGATAGAAAGAGCTGAAAGCATCTTGGTGCTGCCTAGACAGACCAGATGGGGTGAGCGGGAGAGACATAGGCTATTCTTTCTCATTCAAGGGAGGGGCACTTCATCTGGGAGGGAAATTAAACCCCTATTTGTTTACTGTTCTTGCTTTCCTTGAAAATAAATACAAACCCCACTCCTACTACATTGTGTGGGGCAAATTCTTCCTGTCACTGGAATGAATCTCTCATCTTTGCTTTCTCATTTTTTTCCAGGCTGAAGTTCAGTTCTCCACATTTCTGCATCGGGTTGTGATTTCTCTCCCCCCCCCCTTTCTTTCTTTTAAAAAAGCCCTTGTGAAAATTCATCAGCCTTAAAGTATAATACTGATACTCGCATGTTTGTGTGCAGTTTGGTCTGATCTGCACATTTTTTTGCCAGAAATTGTCCCTAAATATAATGCCTTTTTAATGTTACATTCACTAATATTTGAATTTTAATGCACACTTTCCCCTGATAATCCACATTTTGTACACTTTATGGCCAGAAAACTACATTGTGGCACGTGGAGAAGTGTGGATTTTAAAGGATAGCTGTGTTTAGATTCACATATTGTTTTGGAAAGTGTGCCTTAGGTAGGTTTCAATTAACATCTGAACCATATTTCTCTATCATCTCTTCTCACTGTAATTCTCCCATTACACCGCAAGAAATGCAAGTTCTGTCTGGCTATAAGGCCTTGCTCCTCAGCAAGAAGCTTCACGGCTGCATCAGATTGTCCAAGCACTGCCATCATATTTTCCTCTCCTTGCTGTTGCCCCGATACCTTTCTCTACTGCTTGGAGTGGCAGCAAGTGCCTCCATTCTAAATGCTGTGTTTCTTTACAATACCTCCCTTGCAGGTTGTCATAAGCAGACATGTCAGCCAGGATAGAACAGAAATAATACAAAGCAATTGTATGGCATGTGGGCCTTACTACTGCATGCTGTGTTTGGAGATGAATGTGCAATCTGGATCTTGTGGACTGATAGGTGCTTGATTGGTTTTTCCTTTTGGCCACGGGGCTGGGTCAGACCACTGGGGCTCCCTGTTGATTTCTGTGGATGTGGGCAGAGCTGCTTGAGGTGAGGTGATCATTCAGAAAGGAGGGCAAGTGAAGGCATGCTCAGGAGATGAGGCAATGCAGAGCTGCCCTTTGATCATGGAATTGGAAG